CCTGTCAGCATTAAAGGAAAACCTTCCCTGCAAAGAAGAGTCTCCAGAACATTTTCCCAGTCTTCAGAGAACCTCTAGCATGCAGATCTGCTGCAGCATTATTGGAACAGATGTTACTGAAACCGGCTGCTTCCAGAAGCTCTCAAACTGTCCAGGACAGCTTTTGATATGCAAACATAGATCAGTTTCAGAGCGTCTGCAGCTAGAGGGATGGGCCGGTCAAAGACGGCTTCAGCCGGCGCCGAGTCGCTCCTGTTTATCGGCGTGAGGCCGAGGAAGGAAACTTGTCTCACATGTTTGGGTTTTATCATCTCTGCTCATGTTCTGTGAAATGCAGCCGTTTCTGCAGAGAGAGTGAAGCAAATTGGTCACACAGCAGCTGCAGGAAACCTTTAGTTGTTTTTATGCCCGTCAGGATTCATGTCAGTGTTTCTTATCAAAGATGAACGAGCAGAAATGTGTCCAGTTAAGATCCTGTCAAGCAGAGCATATATGCTCCGCCTTATTTCATCCTGCTCCCCCTGTGCCTCATCATCTTCATTCTTCCTCCTTTTCTTGCTCTGAGCTGACAGCCTTTCTCCAGGATTATCGACTCCGACCTTCTTCATTCCTGACATCTTCCAAGCAGATATAAAACGAGCAGAAATGAAGTCAAAGAATTTACACAGAGCTGAGGTCACCTTCAGGATGTGTTGACTTTCAGTGGACCAGTGTCTTCTGTGAGGTTCTCCCTTCAGGTCCTCAGGTTCTCGGCTCACACAGTTCATGTCCGATTGTTTCTGTTGCTTAAAGGTATAGTGGAGGATTTTCATGAATTTTTGAAAAGACCTGCCCTCTCCACTTTTGAACAAAAATGCACAACCACGTGTGAGGGTGTGCACGAGTCCATTTCTCCTCGTGAACGCTCTGTTTAAAAGCAGCTGTTTGGGTCACTGATACAAGCTTACTTTCCAAAAGATAAGCAATTTTTCCACTATGTCAGACTCACCAGCGGTAAGTGAAAATGGGGACGAGGGCGTAGGATTGGCCTTGACAGTTAGGAGGACACCTTATTTAGATGAGTGGTGAACTGGTCCAACCATGGGCACCTTTAAAAAAAAACAAACAAACAGAAACTACTGTCAGTCTTTGCTCTAACTATAGACCTTAGATGACCAAGCCAAGCTTCAACGTTTTTCTTAAAGAACTTTGTTTGTATTTTCAATCACTTAAATTTAGGAAGAAGAAAAATGGTATAAAATTATACACTTTTGTAAATGACCGTAAACTCAGTGTAAACCCCTAAATATTATTATTTTATGTTTATTTTATTTATGTGTTTATTTTATTTATTTATTTGTTTATTTCCCCTTTTTTTTTATTTCTTAGCTTCTATGTCTCGTTTTTCTTAAAGTTATAATGTCACCAACTGTTGTATATCTGTGCTTGATGTTTGATTTATTCTGTAATGTTACACAGAATTGCCAATACAGCATTATAAAAAAAAAATACTATAGACCTTAGATTATGAAGCAATTAATATGAATAAATACTGAAATAAGGAGTTTAGGTTAAAAAATTTACACACAAACTAATTTCATTTATAATATTTTATGTCAGACATGAATTCATGCTCCTTTACTTGCTTTTCGTTCCCCTGTAGATTCTCTCTACCCGCGTGTTGATTAATCTGTTTCTGTGCGTCAACTTCTGTCAGTTTGAGGGAGGGACCAATCCACAGAGTAAACTGCCTGTGATTGGCTGCTTTTCAGGAAATCCCCCCGTTTGAAAAAGTACTGTTTTATTCCTGGTTATAATGTTAGCAAAACCTCTTCAGTCTAATTGCTGTTCCCTCTAGGTACAACTCTGACTTCAAATCAATATCTGTTATTAAATGATAATTTTGTCAACACATTGTTTGAAAACTAAAAGAAAGAAAAATGTGAGGGAAACGTCCAGTCATATTCAGAATTCAAACTTCTGAAAGTACTTTGAATATGAAGTTATTCCATCCTGTTCAATAAATGATCAGTGTTTTTAATTCAGAGTAATTTTCATGTGAATGTGCTTTACTGGAGGCATCCATGTTTGTCAAAGAACACTACTGCCACCTACTGGTTAGTAACGTCACGCTGCGGTCTCGGCTGTTGATCAAGTCCCAGTGCTGTATCTGGTGTTTGTCACAACGCGCTATTATCCAAGTCATCTTGAAAACATTCTTCTTCCAAATGTTGGTTACATATTACGGGTTTTTTCTCTGGCCAGAAGTTCGATGGCAAATCCTCCCTCTTCAAGTTGGCGATCCAACGACCAACCCGTCCGTGGAGTATGACTCATTTAAAACTTTTAGCATTTCTGGAGAAACTCACACAAACTAATTGATTATTTTAAATCCGACACCTCACAGAGTTACTTGAATTTAACTCTGATACTTTGGATGAGTTAACTCTCTCATTAATAACTAATTAATTAAGTTAATTAGACTAAACAATCTTTGAATTAACGCTGTAATTTCAACATAAAATGCCAACATTAGATTTTGCGTAGGAAAATACCTTTACAAGGAACTTATAAATACTAAAACGTTACCAATGAAATATCTGTCCTCCAAATATGACATCCTCATTGTATTTTAGGGTTACTGCAGGTTTACTGCAGAATTTCAAAATAAAGTACGAATTTGACTCAATGACTTGCTTTGCATCACATTCAGGCATAACAGCTTTTATCGTCCCTTTAAATATAAATATTGAATGATTCTTTGGTTTCTTTGTTCAAATTGTTCCAAAAACGGATTCCACTAAAGTTGGGCGTACAGGGTACGATTTTTTTCAATTGTTGCAGTCAGCTAAAGCTCACACTGTACGACGAAACCGCAGAGCATAAAAGTTCAGCTCACAATGTTTGTTTTCACACTGTGCGACCCGACGCTCTGATGTGATCTACCTGCTCACACTCTGCAGTGAGATGGCGCTACTCGGACTCGTCTATCTGGAAGTCAAACCAGTAGAAGAGGAATATGAAGCTCTCTAGAGTGAAACGCGCTGCTTTAGGGATTTGGGCAATTTGTGCTGAAAGCCCTAAAAAGAAAAGGAGACGACGTATTTGGACAAAGACATGGCTGAACAAACATGGCTACTACAGTTTCACTCTTTGCACCACCCGCCATGCTTCTGGGTTTTCCTCTGAGAAGAAGAAGGATCCTTGTTTGCCCACAGAGCGATTTGCCCACAACCACCTTACTGTTAGGTTTATTCAATGATGATTATTGAAGTAATGTGTGTTCATATGAAACATTGTAGAAATGAGACGCTCCACTCCTGTCTCATGATTCAGTCAGGAGACCATCCTGCCTTGTGATTCAGTCAAGAGGGGAGCATCCTGTCTTTATGAACTGATCAATTGTTCTGTCAGAACAATACTCTGTTTGTAACCATCTGTCATGTTCTGTTAATAAAACGCTCTGTGGAGGAGGTCCGGGGTGAGACAATGTGTTTGAGTCTGGGGTTCAACTGTCTCTCCTTCTGCAGAAGCCGTATGAAAACCCCTTACTGTGTATTTCAGTTCTTCTTTTACAAACCTACATTTTTGAACCCAACACTTACGACGGCTGACTGAATTTCAAACACGTTTGATTTTGGTTGTGAGAGGCTGATCGCCCTTCGTTACCCCCTGTACACTACACGATGCACGACGCAGGATCATAAGGAAACTCGGCACAATTGAAAAACTCTCACACGACTGGAAAATCGGCCCGAAAATTGTAAAAAAAAATTGTACAGCGTACGCCCGGCTTCATAGAATCATTGTTCTAAGTTATTTCTGAAAAATATCAGTTCCGTTTTAATAATAATTTATCTTTTTTTTCTCCTCAATGTTTATCCAAACAGTCGATAATTTTGTCAAACTTCAACAATTTTAACATAAGAAATACTGGATTTGTAGCGAGCTCTATATCTACAGTGTTTCCCACTCATTCATTTGGTTTTTACTTGTGAAAATCTCTTTTTTTTGTTGCAAAAATCAAAGGGATAAATGTTTCACATCCAATGCATCAATCTTCTAAACAGTATTAGTGTTATAGTGCTATAAAATATATACATTACTTTGTTAAATATTAAACCCTTTATATCCCAGCTGCTTTTGATAGTTTTTTTTTTGTGTAATTTATATATGATTTCCAGCCTAAATTCTCACCCAAGATTAAATCCAGAAATGTCCCTTAATCTATTAATTTGAGTTCCATCAATGTTAAGTGTAAAATCTGGGCTTTCAGAAGTTTCATTTTTTCAGATTTAACAATAATTTGTTTCCATCAAACGTTTTCTTCTTTCTCTTGTTCTTTTTTGAGCAGCTGTGTTATGTTGTCTTGCCCAGAATAAATTAAGGTAGTATCATCCTCAAACAGAATACATTTAAACAGTTTGGACATATAAAGAAAATCATTTATATGCAGAATAAAGATTTAAGGCAAAAGGACAAATCCCTGGGGTACTCCATACTTATAATTATTATTTTACTTTATGTATACGTACATATCAGCACCAGTGGGGCAGTGAATGGCACTGCTGCCTTGCATCAACAAGGTTCGATTCCCGGCCCGGGGTCTTTCTGCATGGAGTTTGAATGTTCTCCCTGAGCATGCATGGGTTCTCTCCGGGTACTCCGGCTTCCTCCCACAGTCCAAAAACATGACTGTTAGGTTAATTGGCTTCTCTAAAGTCCCCTTAGGTGACCCCAACTGAGAAAAGTGTAACGAAAAATGGATGGATATTGCTTTTATTTTGACTTAATAAATCAACTGGAAAAGATAAAAAAATCTTTCTAGAACTGAAAAGAAGTTAGGAAACAAGTTCATCGGCATCCTTGACGTATTCTTAAAGCTGCAGCTGCTTTTTGTGTTTTTATTCAGACTTATTAAAACTTATTAAAAACTTAAAACAAGTTTCAGACTCCCCAGAACTTCAGCCCTGGGCCTGTTTTTATAATCTTCTCTCACCCCTCTGGTCCTGCCTTTCCAGGTCCAACTGTTTCGAGGTTTTTGCCCTGAATGGAACCGTCACCAATATTCTTCAGTTTTGCACTGCGGCTGAAAGCATTGACTGGCTCCAAGCAATATCTACAAACATCAACGACTTGACGCAGGAGAACGTAAGTCCAAGCCAAAAGAGATCTGCAGAACAGCAACACGTCGGCCGGCCCATATTTGCATGTTTTTTTCTTGTCTCGGTATCAGCTGAATTGTGCCTGCATTAGCTGCATCCCAAAAAAAGTGAAAAAACAATCCACTGGACTTTATTTCCCAGTTTAAAGACGTTTCTCTTCCATCCAGGAAACTTTTTCAATTCAAAATGTCAGAAATAGCATTTAGTTCCAGGTTTTATCCAGCAGCCCAACAAAGCCTGGTTTATGTTTAGAAAACATGCACATAGAAACGGATGAACGGGTCCCCCCCTTTGGAATGGAGGTCGTTTGGCTTCTTTTGCTAGCCTGCAATGCCCCATACCTGTCTGGTTTCATTTAGTGTTGCACTGATACCAGTGTGGGGCGGGGCCCCGATCCATCACTATAATGGTGGTATCGGTATCGGTGAGTACCAACCAATAGGGCACAGATATCATTTTTAGAGCCAAAAGTATCTTCAACTATTGTCACCCATTCCAGGTAGGCAATAAAAAGTTCACTTTGTTTTAGTCTTTTTTCCTGCTTCACAAAGGTAGGCAGCAGCTTGATAAAGCCATGATGGTGAAGTAATTTTGGGAAGGGGCGAAAATACTGGTTAGCTGATTGGCCTATGTTGGTGATAGACGGGCCAAATAAACCAATCAGATCAACGAAGCATATGACGTACTAACAGAGCGACGACGAAGAGGAGCCAATTGATAGATCAAACTCTTGCCGAAACCAGTCGGGAGAAGAGCAAAAACATCTTTTCCTCTGAGAAAAGCCTCCAGAGCAGTGTTTTGCTCTTCTTTCAGTGAAGAAATACTCTGTAATTCCCATAAAACTTGCTCGATAGCCACGCTAACGCTAGTTTCATCGGCTGAAGCCGCCATGTTCTTTAGACTGAACTGTGGCGCTTCTCGTTGCGTCACACCTCAACCCGCCTCAAAGCCAACGCTGATTGGACGTTCGTTTTTGTGAACGGCTCCAAATTTTCTTTAACGGAGAGTCTCCAGACTAAAAAAGGCAACTGTCAAAAAAAGATAAAAAAGGCAACTGTCTACCAGCTCCACAGGCGGCCCCGTCCAGGACACACTCAGCCAGCTAATAAATAAAACCAGCATTGGTTGATCTGTACTGCAGTTCACCTCTAGTAGATTTAGACGCTTTATGTCTGAGCTCTCCTGGTGACACAGACTCCGTCTTCAAACTTCTGTTACTGTTGTATTAAATCAGCCGGAGGTTAAAGATTGAGGGCAGGATCTGCTCTGCTGTTGTGTGTTTTTTCGGTGCGTTAACGAGGCTTTGATGGATCTGGGGATGACGAGCACACTTTGATTCCCGGTGGCACCTGACAGAAAGAAGTCCTCCTTCGTTTCTAATTAATGACTGCTAAGTGCTCCTTCCAAATGTGCTCTCCTCGCCCTCATTTCCTCCTTTTCACTTTGATTATGGCGCTGATGATGCAAAGTGTTTTTGGTGAGTATGCAGTCTACTGTATTTCTCTGCACAGCTGCCTTATTTAAAAAAAAAGGGGGATTAATTCAGGGCTTCATTGCCTAATTACTGCCACGATGATTGCTGAACGGCCAATCAGAATCTAATTGTCCCGCTGCTACGGGAGCAAGTAGAACTCTGGTTATTAAGGATCTGCAACCGTTAGATGGAGCCTCTTGTTGGTGCTGAGACTCTGAACGAAGCTGCTTCTAGTCTGGCATGAAGGAACTGGGCAGTTTGTTGCTTTTCTGAGTGAAAAGGAGAAATCTGAAGATCAGAGTGAAACCATAACAGAAGCAGGACCCATCTCTGATATCAGGGGAGAATCACGGCAAATGCAGCTCACCTTGGTCTGAACTCATGTCTGGCTTGAAGAAGAGATTTATTGTTATAATTATTATTATTAGGGTAAACAAGGAGCAGTGTCAGAGCTAAGCTTTTTAAACAGGGGTGGTAAGGTATTATTTGGGGGGTGAATATATATAAGGGGTTCAGTTAGACTACAAACAATAATTATTTTCTACAAAATGTACATTGATTAAATTAAGGTTCTTTATTTTCCGAAGTGTATACAATTATGTACTGTAATGTGTTATAAAATACGATTAATTTAAGAAATTTGTACTTATTTGTAGATAATATTTCCAGTGTACAGCAAAAATAGAAATAAACAAGCATTCAATGTGTTCCTTTGACTAATCAAATCCAGTAATAAAAAAAAACTTGAAATGAAATGAAGTTGTTCACATTTAAATGGGTGATATAATGATTCTATAGGGTATCTGGCCTTCAGGTCTCTAATAGGGTGATAGAATGATTCTATAGGGTATCTGGTCCTTCAGGTCTCTAATAGGGTGATAGAATGATTCTATAGGGTATCTGGCCTTCAGGTCTCTAATAGGGTGATAGAATGATTCTATAGGGTATCTGGTCCTTCAGGTCACTAATAGGGTGATAGAATGATTCTATAGGGTATCTGGCCTTCAGGTCTCTAATATGGTGATAGAATGATTCTATAGGGTATCTGGTCCTTCAGGTCTCTAATAGGGTGATAGAATGATTCTATAGGGTATCTGGTCCTTCAGGTCTCTAATAGGGTGATAGAATGATTCTATAGGGTATCTGGCCTTCAGGTCTCTAATAGGGTGATAGAATGATTCTATAGGGTATCTGGTCCTTCAGGTCTCTAATAGGGTGATAGAATGATTCTATAGGGTATCTGGTCCTTCAGGTCTCTAATAGGGTGATAGAATGATTCTATAGGGTATCTGGCCTTCAGGTCTCTAATAGGGTGATAGAATGATTCTATAGGGTATCTGGTCCTTCAGGTCTCTAATAGGGTGATAGAATGATTCTATAGGGTATCTGGTCCTTCAGGTCTCTAATGGGGTGATAGAATGATTCTATAGGGTATCTGGTCCTTCAGGTCTCTAATAGGGTGATAGAATGATTCTATAGGGTATCTGGTCCTTCAGGTCTCTAATAGGGTGATAGAATGATTCTATAGGGTATCTGGCCTTCAGGTCTCTAATAGGGTGATAGAATGATTCTATAGGGTATCTGGTCCTTCAGGTCTCTAATAGGGTGATAGAATGATTCTATAGGGTATCTGGTCCTTCAGGTCTCTAATAGGGTGATAGAATGATTCTATAGGGTATCTGGTCCTTCAGGTCTCTAATAGGGTGATAGAATGATTCTATAGGGTAGCTGGTCCTTCAGGTCTATAATAGGGTGACAGAATGATTCTATAGGGTATCTGGTCCTTCAGGTCTCTAATAGGGTGATAGAATGATTCTATAGGGTATCTGGTCCTTCAGGTCTCTAATAGGGTGATAGAATGATTCTATAGGGTATCTGGTCCTTCAGGTCTCTAATAGGGTGATAGAATGATTCTATAGGGTATCTGGTCCTTCAGGTCTCTAATAGGGTGATAGAATGATTCTATAGGGTATCTGGTCCTTCAGGTCTCTAATAGGGTGATAGAATGATTCTATAGGGTATCTGGCCTTCAGGTCTCTAATAGGGTGATAGAATGATTCTATAGGGTATCTGGTCCTTCAGGTCTCTAATAGGGTGATAGAATGATTCTATACGGTATCTGGTCCTACAGGTCTCTAATAGGGTGATAGAATGATTCTATAGGGTATCTGGTCCTTCAGGTCTCTAATAGGGTGATAGAATGATTCTATAGGGTATCTGGTCCTTCAGGTCTCCAATAGGGTGATAAAATGATTCTATAGGGTATCTGGTCCTTCAGGTCTCCAATAGGGTGATAGAATGATTCTATAGGGTATCTGGTCCTTCAGGTCTCTAATAGGGTGATAGAATGATTCTATAGGGTATCTGGTCCTTCAGGTCTCTAATAGGGTGATAGAATGATTCTATAGGGTATCTGGTCCTTCAGGTCTCTAATAGGGTGATAGAATGATTCTATAGGGTATCTGGCCTTCAGGTCTCTAATAGGGTGATAGAATGATTCTATAGGGTATCTGGTCCTTCAGGTCTCTAATAGGGTGATAGAATGATTCTATACGGTATCTGGTCCTACAGGTCTCTAATAGGGTGATAGAATGATTCTATAGGGTATCTGGTCCTTCAGGTCTCTAATAGGGTGATAGAATGATTCTATAGGGTATCTGGTCCTTCAGGTCTCCAATAGGGTGATAAAATGATTCTATAGGGTATCTGGTCCTTCAGGTCTCCAATAGGGTGATAGAATGATTCTATAGGGTATCTGGTCCTTCAGGTCTCTAATAGGGTGATAGAATGATTCTATAGGGTATCTGGTCCTTCATGTCTCTGATAGGGTGATAGAATGGTTCTATAGGGTATCTGGTCCTTCAGGTCTCTAATAGGGTGATAGAATGATTCTATAGGGTATCCAGTCCTTCAGGTCTCTAATAGGGTGATAGAATGATTCTATAGGGTATCTGGCCTTCAGGTCTCTAATAGGGTGATAGAATGATTCTATAGGGTATCTGGCCTTCAGGTCTCTAATAGGGTGATAGAATGATTCTATAGGGTATCTGGTCCTTCAGGTCTCTAATAGGGTGATAGAATGATTCTATAGGGTATCTGGTCCTTCAGGTCTCTAATAGGGCGATAGAATGATTCTATAGGGTATCTGGTCCTTCAGGTCTCTAATAGGGTGATAAAATGATTCTATAGGGTATCTGGTCCTTCAGGTCTCTAATAGGGTGATAGAATGATTCTATAGGGTATCTGGTCCTTCAGGTCTCTAATAGGGTGATAGAATGATTCTATCGGGTATCTGGTCCTTCAGGTCTCTAATAGGGTGATAGAATGATTCTATCGGGTATCTGGTCCTTCAGGTCTCTAATAGGGTGATAGAATGATTCTATAGGGTATCTGGTCCTTCAGGTCTCTAATAGGGTGTGTAACATTGGTTAGGCTGAAAATGGCATATTAGCTGTTCTATGAGCCCTAATGCAGCCTGGTTAAAAGCCCTAGAATGAAACCACAGGTATGATCATGGATATTTAGATGAGCTGTGCTCTGATTGGTTGGTTTATAACGAGCGAAGCTGCTGAGCAAAGACGCATCATAGCAACAAGCACTCACTCACTGAAACATCAGATTGTTGATATGGTAGGGGGACCAGACGTCCTCTTATTCCCTGACATGTCCTACTTTTCAGACCTAAAAAAATATCCGAGGGGAATTTAAAAATCATCCAGGATTTTGATCGACTATAGTGCAGCAGGTAGTAGAAACACACCGGGCACAAGAACCCCCCCCACCGAAAAAAAAGTGACCTCCTTTCCAGAAACACAAATCTGGTCACCAGACAAAATAATACTTCCAGCTTACAGTTCTGATGGCCTTTCGGTCGGAACAGCCCCTTGTTTCAGTAAGAGAAGAGTCTTCGGTAAAATGCTTCGAGCAAATGAACAGCTGAGCATCAAACTTTGCAGTTATCTTCTGATAGACAAAAATAATCGACTCTTCGGATCCTTGGGACAACTGTGAAAATGTTTCCCTTTCTCCATGCTGCCTGGAACACTGCGTTTTCGCCCATGGTTCTGGCTAATTTTCGATAGAGAAACTGTCTCTTCTGTAATTCTTGTAGGAGTAACTGTAGACTAAACAGCTAAACTGGTGTCTTCCATCTACCTCTATTCATGTTCTTGGGCCGTGAATGTGACAAAATTAGACCCCAGAACCAAATAAGACAACATCCCCGAGTTTACGTCAACTCTGTGCTTCGTTTGGATTTGCCCGTTTTATGTTGGACGTTGATGCTACGTTCACACCGGACGCAGCAGGAGCAGCAAAGCTGCAAAAGTGTGTCTGACGCACGTTGGGCGGAGCTACTCTATCCTTTCTCTGCCTTGCAGCTATATTTGCTGTGATCAGTGGGAATAAAGTAGTTTTAATATGTTTTTAAGTGAGAAAATACACCTGAAAACTTAATCAGTGCAGTCAGTTCATCCAGATTACCATCCTGCCTTCCAATGTTATTTCTGTCGGAGCCGCTCAGAGTGCAGTGCGCTGTCAGTAGGAATCCCATTCAACAGCAGCCTCTGGCTGGGTCGCCTCCTCGCGGTTCACCGCGGCGGCTGGTAGGTGTTTTTCATCTAAATAATCCAAACTGCAGGCAGCAGGATAATAAAAGCGAACATATTCTGCCGGCAGATTTCTGCATTTTAAGTTAATTTAGGCGTCAATAAACTGTTTCAGAGGAGTGATTACAGCGCTCTGTGTCAGCAGCGATGTGTCTGACTCCCTGCCAGCTCCCAGATCAGCTTCTCTGATTGGTTGACGCGGCGGGTCGAGCAGCAAAAGTTCAATTTTTCCATCTCGAGCAGCAGCGCGTTTGCGGTGCGCCACGTTCGTCAGATGCTTAAACGCGCCTGACGCGCTGCTTCAGCTGCTCAAAACGCACTGCAGGACCTTTTCCTGCGCCTTGACGCGCGGCAACCATTGACTTTGCATGTAAACTCGCTGCTTCTGCCACGCCTGCTGCGTCCGGTGTAAACACAGCATTAGAATTGTGAGATTCTAAACTCACACCAGGTCTTGGCGTGAGCGAAAGTCTTTCACCTCGGTCAAAAGGCATGGCTGGAATATGCTAGCTTTGACAACAGCATTTATTTGTTGTTTGAAGTTCAGTTCACGGTCGAAGATACGGCATTGCGGACTGGACCCCTAACCCTGGACTGAATCTGAGGGACATCCTTGGAACCAAAAAATTATGAATTCAGACTTACTTTCATTCAGGTGGAGAAAATTCTGCACAAGCAATTTTTAAATGTCCAAAAGGCAGCTACCAAGAGATGCGAGAGCAATGGCAGTATAAGGGAGAACTGGTAAATATACCAGGACATCATCAGCGTAAAGGTGGAATGATAAATTGTGTTTGGCAATGATGGACCCCAGTGGCAGCATGTAAAGTGAAAACAGGACCGGGCCATGGATGGAACCCTGTGGCACCCCAGATGATATTGGGGCACAGGAGGAGGAATCGACCATCACAGCAAAGCTCCGGTCACTCAGGTAGAACCTGAACCCCTGCAGGACCGTGCCCTGAACACCAACATGCTCCGCCAGCCGAGAGAGGAGAACTGCGTGGTCCACGGTGTCGAATGCCGCAGTTAGACCACTCAGCTGGGGCATCCAGCACAAACGGCAGAGAGCCTCCGCATACTTTCCAATTTATCTTAAAGTCTGCCAGGAGGTGTCTCCCCCAAAGGCCCCAGTCAACATCCTGTCCTTCTCACACAGCCTACAGCATTACCATATAAGGTGATGCCATCCTGGTCATCATATGTCATCTATTTTGGCTGACCCACACAGAAAGTGAACAAATATAGAAATGAACAGATGTAGCAGTTATTTAAAAATGGAAAATAAACAGAAATGAATCTTCAACAGATTTCAATCACTGAGTATTTCAGTGATACTTATATCTTATATTTCAAACACTTTCCTAACTGGACGTGTCTATTTGTGTTTTCTGTTGCAGATAAAAATGTTGAACAGTTCCTGCTCTTCAGAGGACCAGGTAAGCCACCATGAAGTTATCTGATTGGATGAAGGCCAAGCGGGGCTAACCAATCAGATCACTGCTTACCACCTGGGCTGAAATCAGAAACCAAGGACTTTGTTATATTTCTACTAGTGCTGTCAAAATTAATTAATTTTAATGGCGATAATTTTTTTAACGTGAGATTAACGCTATGTGGTTTTATGGTACAATTTTCCAAGTACATCCCGCTGCAGCCTGCAGGAAGGCGGGGCTATTTCCCCCCAGTCTATGCATTTTCCATAGGCTTCGAGAGCGGAGCTCCTCAAGGAAAAAAGACGCTCATACACTGGGTAGCGCTAGTGCCTATTCTTTAAGCCCCACCACCAACAAACAAGTTGAGTGTCTGGTGCCTATAGCAACATGAAATACGCTGAGAAAACAGATTACTGAGGTGAAATGGAATCTGCTACGGCACTCTTGCTGTCTGTGTTCGCCACAGGTCAGTATGGTGTGTGTGTGTGTCTGTGTGTGTGTGTGTGTGGGTGGGTGTGTGTGTGTTCTCATTTTTGTTAAGAGGCTGAAAAGTAACTTTCTAGAGCATAGACTACCTCCATCTAGTGATGTCGGTCTATTGATTTTGATGTATTGATTGAAAATTGTTCATTATTACCTTGGTTAATTGACATCTAATGTTAACTCTACTACATTTTATAGCAGTAGGGTAAAATGCTTGTCTTTGTTCAAAAGACTGTATTAACTGTAAAGACTGTCTTTTACATCAGCCTGTTTTCAGGGCCTTTTTTTTGGCTACATATTTGTTATTTTTTGCTACATGCCTCCCCATCTTCTTGCCATATGTTTCTATGGCATAAATCAGTGTCTGTGACCTGTTTTCATAAAAAAAAAAAGAACATTGGCACAAACCTAGCCTGTATGTATTTTTTGTATGTCATCGAGAGTATTTAAATGATTTTCAATCAGAAAAAAAAATGTGTGATTAAAATGCGATTAGGCAGGCATGTTGACTTTTCTGGGGAGGAGCATCTGGTTGGAGGGGTCCTCGTGGTGTGGCGGTGGGTGTTGGGCACTGGCTTGTTTGCGGCCGTTCTTCTCCAGTGAGGGGGAGAATATAATAATTTTTTTTTTTTTTTTTTTTTTTTTTTTTTGTGTGTGGGAGGGGGTGTGTGGGCGGGGGGATCGGGGCTTGGAGTGGGGCTCGGGATTTGCACTTTGCTGTGTTGTGTGGCTTTCTTCTTCTTCGGATTGGTGCTGTGGGACCGGTGTTGGGGGGGAGTCGTTCGGGGGCCGGGGTCGGAGTGGGGGCGCTGGCGCCGGCGCCGGGGGTTTTTTGGGCATTGCCCGGCCCTACTGCGGGGTGGGTCTGGGGTGGGTCCTGGGGTCTGGGATCCCTGGGGCGCATTGCCCTTGGGCGGGGTCCCCGGTGGGGGTTCGGGTTCTGTGGGGAGTGCTGCTTGGGTTCTGGCCCGGTGTACGCCCGGCTGTCTGTCCCTGCTGCCACGGCCTCTGGTGTGCCGGGGTGCCTCGGGGCCTGCTGGGCTGGGGGGGGGCATGGACATTAACACCTATGGCAAGTGCTTACCCCCTCACGGGTTTGCACTCTGTAAGTGGGGGAAGGGGAGGGAGGGGGAGTAGGTATGATCTCGGCCTGGATGTCTTCTGTCGCTTGTGTGGTGAGTAGCTTGATTGTTATTGTAGGGGAGGGATTACATCTCCGGAGGGGGGGTGGGGGGTGGTGATAGAGGGAAGGAGATCTTTGAAGGGCTTCGGGTCTGGCTCCCTGTCTTGGTCCTGGTCCGTGCTGCCCCCTGGTGGGGCTTCGTCCGGGGTGGGGGCTCTGCGTGTTGCGCGTTGGCTGGCCGGCTGGGGTTGTCCCCCCCCTTATTCATTTATTTATTTATTATTATTATTATTTTTTTCTTATCTTCCTTTTATATTTTTTATTAATTTAATTTATTTATTTATTTATTTTTTTTTTTATTTATTTATCTACTTATTTATTTATTTTTTTTTAATTATTTTTTTATTTTTATTTTTGGATGGACAGGACGGGGGGGTGGTGGTGGTGTCGGCTCCGTGCCCGGCTGGGGGTCAGGGCCACGGGGGGGGGGGCTTATTTTATGGGCCTCACCACGGTCGGCCTCCTCCATCCCCTCTCGCATCTAGACATTGAGGGTTGAGGGTTGTCGAAGGGGGGGGTGTGCTGGCACCGTCTATCTCCTGGAGGGGGGGTGGAGTGTGCCGGACACCCCCTCTTGGTACTCCCAGTTTTAATTGCATCTGAGAGCAACACGCAACAACACCACATCCGAGCGGGCGCAGGGAGGATCGGGGTCTTCTCACACCCCTGTTCTCCGGCTGCCGCCTGGAGTCTGGGGCCTGGAGGAAGAGCGGGCCGCCTGGTCCGTGGTTTTGGCTGGGGCTGGCTGCGGGGCCTAGGTGGCCTGCTGGTGGCGGGGCTGTCACCTCCGCTCTCCCCAAAGAAGGTTGGATGGAGGGGCATGAAGTGCCTGGTTGAAGGTTTTTTTTTTTTTTTTTTTTTTTTTTTTTTTTTTCTGTTCGGGGGGGGGGGGGGCGGTTCTGGTTGGGTGGCCGGCGCGGGATGGGTGGGCCCCGGTCCCGGGGGGGGCTCTTGCTGGGGGTGGTCCGGTCCGTGTGCGGGGTGGGGGGTCGGGCTTGAAGCAGGAAAGAGATGGGTTGGTGTGGCGGTGTCGCCGCTCCCCTCCCCTCACATCCGGATTTTAGGTTCACTTATGGGGTCATCCGATAGTCCCGGGACCGACCACCGGTGTCACCGGGTTTTTGGTCCTGGTATTATTGGATGAGAGTGTTATGTGTGAATGTGTGTCCGCGTTGTTATTTTCTTTATTTATTATTATTATTATTTTATTCAATTTTTTTTTTTTTTTTTTTTTTTTCCTGTGGTACGAGTGGGGGCACTAGGGAGGGAAGGCATGATTGAGATGGTGTGTTTTTTTTTCTTTTTTTTTTTTCTCCCAGGTTGGGGTCTCAACCGCACCCTCTCCCAAATACATCTCAAGTCTCCGCTAAGTGCGGAGCCCATTCCCCCCGTCCTGCTCTCCCTCCGCTGGCTGGCGTCGGGGCTCACCGGTGCACTGGTGGAGCTGGGGGTGGATGCCCGGGGGACTGCTGGCTCATTCCTGGCGGCCTCTCCGCTGGCCCCGGCCGGCCGGGGCTTTGCTGGGGCTCCTGTCTGGGGATCGGGTGCCCTTGGGGCCTCGGATCCCTGGGGCCTGGGACTGGATCCGCTTCGGGGTGGGGCTCGGTGATGTTCGGGGATTTTCGGGGTCGGTGCCGGTGCCTTCGCTACGATGCCGGTTCCTGGGCGGTGTTTCTTTCCTATGCCGGTTCTGTGGTATCGGTTCGGGGAGGGGGGGAGCTGCGCGGCATGGTGGGGTGCGGGTCTTGGGTCCTGTTTTGGGCTCCGGTTTTTCCGCTCGCACTTCTCCTCTTGCCTATTTATTTTAATTGTAATTATTAATTAATTAATTAATTTACCTATTTATTTAGGTTTTTTTTTCTCTTCCTCGGTGGGGGGGAGCGGTTGCGGGCGGGTCGGTGTCTGGTGTCCGCTGTCGCATTGTGGGGGCATTGTTTTTTTTTTTCTTCTTCCTTTGGGGGGTTTGGCATGTCTGTTTTCTCGGGGGGCGGGCGGGCCTGCTGGGTGGGGGTCCTGCTGGCGGCGCGCCGCTGGTGTGTGGGGGGTCCGGGCGGCTCCGGTGGGGGTAGTGTTGGGGGGCCGGTCTGGGCGGGCTGGCTGCGCTGGCTAGGTATTCGGGTGGGTTTTCCCTCCTGGAGGCATGGCGGGGCTGCTCTGTTCCAGCTGATCGCGGCGGGTGGGGCTGCGGGGCGGGTGGGGGCCTGGAGTGGCTATGGCCGGCGCGTGGTGGGGGGCCGGGGCGGCGGAGCTGCTCTGGCCGCATGTCAGGGCCTGGTGCGGGCGGCGGGGGGGGGCGGCGGACGTGGCTGGGCTGCTTTGGCTTCGTCCGGTGGGGGGGCGGCGCGGTTCGCTCCGCTCTGGCTTTGTGCTGCCCCTCGGGCTGCTGGGGGGGGTGGTTGCGCCGGCTGCGGTCTGCTCTTCTTGCGGTTTTGCGCCGGGCGGCTTTTCTGCTCTCGGGCTGATTCTGTGCGCGATGTGTTTCGTTGCGCGCTGTTGGCATCGGTCTTGGTGGGGTGGGGCTGCGCTTTTGGCCGGGGGGGGCGTTTTGGGGGGGTCCCGCGGCGCTCGCGGCCGGTTCGCGGCGGATGCGCATGGGCCCCGGCCGGGGGCGGGGCCGCCTGAGTGTTTTCCTGGGTGGTGCGGTCGCGGTGGGTGTTGCGGCCGGTCGCCGGGGCTTGGTGCTGGGGGGCGGGGCGTGTTTCGGTGCTCTGTGGGGCTGGGGCGTTTCGGTCGGCGCCGTGGGGGGGCTGGTGTTCGGTGCCCGGCCCTACTTCGGGGTGGTAGGCTGCCGGCGGGGCCCGCGGACTCGTCCCCGCGGCTCCCCGGGGCGCCGGCATGGCGGTGGCTGGGGGGCTTCTTCGTGGCTGTCTCTCCTCCTGCCTTGGTGGGGTCTGGTTTCCGGGGCTGGCCCCGCCTTGGTGCCTTCGCTTCTGGGGTCCCCTTGGGCGCCTGGGGCTTTGGGTCTCCCGGCGCTGGACTCAGTGCTCTGGGGGGTGTGCCTCTCCGGCTCTCCACAACCACTATTGAGCATTTTTTCTATGGTTAAAACTTTACATGCACAAGTTCACCCTCACAAACAACTACAGGTGCTAGGCTTCAGGTACTTAGAGATTCACTTCCACCCCACATTCATATCTTCAGGTAACACAGAGTACATGTCAGACTTAATAATATTACGTTAGCGATAGTTTCAAGGTGTTTGCTTTATTGTATATCTCGTACCATGTTTTTTGGTTGTGCTGTTCTTTTTTTTTTTTTTTTTTTTTTTTTTTCATCTCGTTACTGGTGTTGAAGCAGACTGAAAATGTTTTGTCATTGTCTCCTTCCTATCTCCTCTTTCTTTCATCTTTTGTCCTGTTTTTTTTCTTTTTCTTTTTCCTTCTTCTTCTTCTGTTTTTCTGCTCTACTTACATTGCAGTGTCCATATGAACTGTAAAACTCCCTGCATAATTATAATAAAGCAATTTATAAAAAAAAAAAAAAAAAAAAAAAAAAAAATGCGATTAATCGCGAGTTAACTTAGGCATTGATGCGATTAATCGCGATTAAAAAAATTTAATCGATTGACAGCACTAATTTCTACTTTATTTTATATTTAGATTATAAAGTTTATTCATTTAATACTTGATACAGAAATAGTAAACAGTAACTAATTATGCTAAACCTTAAACAAAACATTTACTTTTCCTTTTTTTTCCTGCTCAAAACTTTTCACTTTATATAGTTACAAAATGCACTACTTATGTGACCGATCTAGGAGTAGTTTCCAACTGACTAACTCACTAAACTGTGTTTAAAAACGTATCTGTCAACATGATGCATCTGCTACAAAAATGTCTCGTCTTTTGCGGTTTATTATTAAAATGATCAAGAATTTTGGAGCCTAAAAGGAGTAGAAACCGTTGCATTTTTATTTTTATTTTCTCGTTGTGTCATCGCTTCCCTCTCAGTTATCACTCAACTCATCTGAATTAAAGTTAATTTCAACTCTTAGTTTATTTCCTGTTTTTACTGTACTTATTGTTTTAAAATTCTGATTTAAAATCCTAGTCCACAAGCATCCTCAATCACATTTTCCCTTAAATTTTATGTCTTTACAGTATTTATTGGCTGCATCTAAAAATATCAAAGATATTTTCAATTTAAACATAGATATGAAATAATAGAATATAACCTACAATAACTTCAATGATATCATTTTACTAGGTCATCAAATCAATTCAGTTTATTCCAGGGGAAACCAATTCAAAATCAACGGGGTTATTATATTGACAAAAATTTTTACCATCAAAATATCCATATTTTGTTGAATGTTAATAGCGTCTTTTCCTGGATTCCAATAACACTATTGGCTTGAAATTTTGACTTTCAAAGTATTTGACTGAGGGCCCTATAAAGGGTTAACCCCACGCTGGTCCCCGGGCGCCGCACAATGGCAGCCCACTGCTCCCCAAGGGGATGGGTCAAATACAGAGGTTAATTTCTCCAGTGTTAGATCAATAAAGGTCAGTTATTATTATCCAATAATGGAACAAAATTTACTCTATATAAACTGTAACAGATGCTGTTGCTTTAGTTTTGCACACCGCACCGAGTATTGGAGGCAAACATGTCGATCCTACAGCAGCTGTTATTTTTTTTTCCTGGATGCTGTGAGTGAGAGAGATGGAGATCAGTCAGTCAGCCTGTTAAACGTGATGCACTTCAGAAAAACAATGGAAACTCTGACCTGATGTTCCTCTGTCCCTCTAAGGCCACATCCACTGAACCTGACTCTTTCTAATCACCTCAAAGCTGCTTCATCAGTAGTTCCTGTCTGATTATGACGTCTGGCTCGGTTTGTTTTATTAACAGTGTGTGTTCATATTTGATGAAGTAACATTTTTCACATGTATTTTGTGCAGATTATTCACATGGGCTGGACATGTGAAACTCCAGAGGGCAGCACCACATGTCGGAGTTCAGTCTTCAGGTTCCTGGCACTGAGAGGACCATATTTCTATATCTTCAAAACTCCCCCGGTACGCCGTCTGTCTTTACTGACAGATTATCTGCACTGTAAAAAAAACGGATCCAAAATAAGTCCTTAATTTGAGCAGATAGATGATAATCTGCCAATGGAATTAGCATTTATGTCCTTAAAATAAGATTTGGAGTGAAAAGTAAAGTTTGAAAAAAAATAAAGGCAGTTCAAAGGCAAAGGGGGGGTGGGGGGGGGACTCAGCTTTCAAAAACCTACAACGCAGTGATGGAGTTGATTACTTCCCACTGTCATTAGAACCCCAACCCCCTTTACAGGAGAACAGAAGACCTCGCCTATTCCAACCTGACTCCACCAGATGGATTTGCTCCACATATCCATCTGGAAACCTTCCGTTGAAGTAATTTTGGGAAGGGGCGAAAATACTGGTTAGCTGATTGGCCTATGTTGGTGATAGACGGGCCAAATAAACCAATCAGATCAACGAAGCATATGACGTACTAACAGAGCGACGACGAAGAGGAGCCAATTGATAGATCAAACTCTTGCTGAAACCAGTCGGGAGAAGAGCAAAAACATCTTTTCCTCTGAGAAAAGCCTCCAGAGCAGTGTTTTGCTCTTCTTTCAGTGAAGAAATACTCTGTAATTCCCATAAAACTTGCTCGATAGCCACGCTAACGCTAGTTTCATCGGCTGAAGCCGCCATGTTCTTTAGACTGAACTGTGGCGCTTCTCGTTGCGTCACACCTCAACCCGCCTCAAAGCCAACGCTGATTGGACGTTCGTTTGGTGAACGGCTCCAAATTTTCTTTAACGGAGAGTCTCCAGACTGATTAGCGAGTGAAACCTTGAAAACTCGCGAGATCAGGATGGTCTCACGAGGCTACACCTATTCAGCCAGGCCAACAATTCCCTTTAACGACCCCCTTTCAGAGACATAGACAGGTATGGGGCATTGCAGGCTAACAAAGAAGCCAAACGACCCCCATTCCAAAGGGGGGGACCCGTTCATCCGTTTCTATTTGCATGTTTTCTAAACTAAAACCAGGCTTTGTTGGGCTGCTGGATAAAACCTGGAACTAAACGCTATTTCTGACGTTTTGAATTGAAGAAGCTTCCTGGATGGAAGAGAAACGTCTTAAAACTTGGAAACAAAGTCCAGTGGGTTGATTTTTAAACTTTTTTGGAGTAACTTTAAAAAACTTCTTAATATAAAAAAAGGTTTTGAGAGTAACTTTTACATTTTCTCCGATTTTAAAATTTCCGATATTTATATATCCATTTTAGAATTTTCAAAATGATCTTCATCTGGCCATTGGCAACAACAGTTTTATTGGTCAACATCGAAAGTTTGGATTCGGCCAGAAGTGCAGAGAATGAGATCAAATAGAGTTTGAAAAAAAAATTTTTTTTTTTTAAATTTAATCTGAAAAAGAAAAGTGAAAATATCAGACATGTAGTTTCTTTTCTAGATTGACTTTTTTCTTTGATAACAAAACATGCTCTTAGCAAATATAAGGGAACAAACCTCCCTCCATAACAAAATATTTATATATAATAATATAATCAATGGATCATTATTTATAGATAAAACTAATACGGTTGAAGTGATTTAATGAATTTAGCGTTAATCAGTAAAAACATAAACACAATATTTTTCATTGCGATCACAGAGTCTGGGAGCGGCCATTTTTGCCCAAATCTAGTAGCCCCTCCCTCCTGCCATCTTCCAGCAGTGACGTCACGGTGCGGTAAGCCTAGCGCCATTCTCCCCGCTTTCCAAGCTAAATCAATGGGAACTACTAGACACATCTGCAATCAACAACAATTATTGAAGATTTCCAGAGGACTTCACCATTGAAATTCACCAGAGCTATAGTGAAACTGACAATGCCCACGTGCATGGCAGCTGGATGCTGGAATACATCGGGTAAAAGTGAAAAAAGAGTTATTCCACCTTTCTGATTCCTGATCCTCCACGGACGGGTTGGTCGTTGGATCGCCAACTTGAAGAGGGAGGATTTGCCATCGAACTTCTGGCCAGAGAAAAAACCCGTAATATGTAGCCAACATTTGGAAGAAGAATGTTTTCAAGATGACTTGGATAATAGCGCGTTGTAACAAACACCAGATACAGCCTTTATTTCAAGAAAAATAAACTTGACTTATATTTCCGTTTTTGCAGCAAATTCTTCTTCTTTATTGTTTTAATTTTAAAATAAACTGATTTTCATTTGCTTTTTTGCCAAATGTTTAAAAATGTTAGTTGATTGTTCAGTTGGAATTTGTGTTTTTAAGTAAAATCGTGATGATTTTATGCTGCTGACTATCTGCTTGTTTTTTGCCTGAATGTGAGACTAGCTGGCAGCACGTTAGCCGACACCGCATGATCCTCTGCTAATTTAATGACAGGCGGCAGCCATGCGGCGTCTGCTTATTGTTTTGTCCTTGTAGCGACGAGGACCGACTGTGCCGCCGCAGTGAAAGCTTCTGCTGCTGCTGAGTATTTTCATTTTGGCCCAGTGTTAATGGACTTGTCAGCGCACACGGCTCCAGGTTCTGCTCTTGTTTTATTCTCGAGTGGGTTGGCCTCAGTTTAATTGGACTCAAGCAGGAATCTGCCCTGTCTGTCTTTCACTCAAACCTATTTTTTTTTTTTTTCTGCCATGTGTTGTAGCTTAACAGTGACGATGCAACATCTGGATTTCTGCATCACGGTCTGCAGAAACCTGGCATTCTCTTTTGATAACTGAGAACTTATAGCAACTTTAGCTCCACATTCATACACAGATAGGTAGGCAACCTCTAGTTAAATGCCTTGCTCAGAGGCAGATCAGCATCTGTTAGGAGGAATGTGGAATCACACCTAAAACTTTCTGTTTACATGAGAAACAGCTACCACAGCTGCCCCACCATGTACAAATATAGCACAGATGTTGCTGGTGCAGATTTTTAAAGACTTTTTCAGCATCTTCCAGATGTTTTGTTGGAGGTTGGGGACCGGCAGCACATTGAACTCAATGGGAATAGAACCCAGGACCTAACAAAAACATGGCTGTTCTCCCCATTAGCTAAAGAGGTTGTAAGAGTTCAGAGGCCAGAACCTGGTTGAGCCACAGGAGGGCAAAAAAAAAGTCACAAAAAACAATGTGTATTATGATCTGAAAGACTTTAGGAAAGGTTGTTCTAAAGAGAGAAAACTGGACCTTTGGGAAGCCGATGTTATGTCAGACCAGCATACCCATAGTCATAGGCATGCACGAGATGTCAGATTTGTGTTTATCTCACAGGCGTAACTTTCTGAAGGACTGGTGGGACATTTCTCCACCAACTTTGACGTGGAGGGTCAGTCCCCACCAAGAATTTCTGCATTTTTGCCCACTTTCCGCTCATTTACTTTAGCCACAGGTAACAGCTATCTTGTTCAGAGTTGTTTCCTCTCTCACTTTGCTCTCGTGTCCCGCCTCTCGGTGTGACGTTATCGGATCTGTCGCTTTGAGACATCTGACTTGCGGTCACATTTCACTCATGTACAGAGTAGCTACGTGGAGGAGGAGAGAAACGCAGCAGCACTCAGTGAATATTAACCAGCAGCTACTTTGATATTTAACTAAAAGTTAGGAGACGGGTTGGTTAAAAAAATTCATACAGCTGAAAAATCTTATTTGTTAGACATACAGAGCATTTTCAGCAAAAATGTCAACAGATTTTAAGTTTATACAGGTTGGTAATATAATGCAAGAAGCTTGATATAACATAGTTTGTTCTTTACTAGTTAAAAAAGCTTAGCTTTTCAGAGGACCATGACTCCCAGTTACAGGTTGAAATTAACACATTTTCTTATTGATCCAATAGAATCAGACTGCAAAGCTTCCATTTATCTTGAAATGTTGTTTCTGGCATCATTATGTTAGTAGATAGGTTCATAAATCTTTTTAAACTGTTAAAAAACAGAGCACAGAGAGAAGAAGGGAGAGCTGCAGATTTAAAGGTGAAACAGATTTACTGGGATGTGCAACATGAAATAAAATATAAGTTTACAAGAACGTTTACAAGGACAAAAATTACTATTCTATATTTTAAATGCAGCATATCCATATTTTTTTTAAAGGATGGATGGAACTGAAAAATTGAAAATTCTAGGGATGCATGACATCGATTTTGGCATTAGACATTAATGTTTTTGGGCCATTTATATATATATAATGCGCTGGAAGTCATCTCTCTAAGTATCTATAAATATAATATCAGTGCATTATGGTTCTCTTGTGTTCTCAACAATAGGACAGCATTCAATAAATAGATGTTGGAGCTCATTTTAAGAAAATACAAAAACCTAATGAAAGCATTTGGGTGGAGTAATTGTAGGTCCATCAGCCCCCACCCTTATAGCGCCCCCACCAACTTTCATTACAAAGCTACACCCTTGGTTTATCACTTTAGTTTTGTAGGAAAAATAGTAAAAATAGACTTTAATCTACCTCAACAGGCGTTTATCCCTTTAATCATGTACAAAAAAACCAAAACAATTTAAGGTCAGATTGCTTTGCTTTCCTTACGCTTCAAAAAACACCAAAAAGTAAGCAATTACATTTTTTTTTTTGTACGTGACTAAAGGGATACATGCTCATTTTTTGTTCAAAACTAAAGGGATACATAAATGGATAAATATTTGACTATGGGCATGCTCACCTGACAGAACACTGCTTACCTGCGGTACTAAAATAATAGAATTCCTAAAGCAGGACTTTATACTAAGGAACGGTACGTTTATACGTGCAGCACATTTAGGTGGAAAGACCCTTCAAAGTTCTGTACTTAAAAAAAGGAAGCATGATAGGAAAACTGCCGTGGGATAAAAGTAATGAAATAATTCATGAACATAAATAATTACTGAGAATACAATTGAATTTTTTGAATGATAGGATGATTATTAAAAACAAAACAAAAACAAAATTAATGATTGATGAGCAAAAAGAAATCAAAGTTGGACTGCAAACTTTAGTTACCAGGCTTAGATGGCAGTCACAGATAAAACAA